CCAAAAATTTGTCATTCTGATTCACTTCTTTTGCTATTTTTAAATGTATGTTTAGGTTTAAATTCCAGTGTGCTGGTTAATTTCGCCTGAAAATAGCTCACCAATTTTCTCCCTTCACGAATTGCCTTTAATTATGTTAATTATGCGTTGTAAAAGGTGGGAAATTTCTGTAGTCGGTGAATCATTATATTCTCGTGGGTATTGGAAATTCCCACTCTTTGCAAATCCAAAGGACAAAATCCTACATCATCTGTCTAGTATTACTTTTGATTTCTCGTGACTTGAAGACAACGGAGTCGACAGCAATTTGTTGAAGAACCTGACCAACAGGGATTTCCCGGACGTCTTTTCCCAATTTGCATTTAAGATAATTTGAAAAAAGTCAATGTTTAAATAAATATGTATATTTAATAGTGTCTGAGCAAATTGATGAAGTGATGAGTAGTGAAGACTTCAAATGCTGATGAATTCTTAGATGGAGTCACCCCTTCTAGTAACCCTATCTCACAACCCAGCAGGAATTCGTCACCACCATCACTACCAAGAGCAGAGATTTTGTATAATTGCCGGCTACACTAGTCCAAGGTTTTACAGAAGGAAAAAAGTCACAATTTATTGGGAGTGGGAGTACTACAGGTGTCCTGTTGCCAAACGTTTCATGACCTGTGGTGTGGACTGCCTGGAGTATCATGTAGACTCGACAAAACGTCAATTGCCGGAGTTCAACCTGGAGAACGAATTGAATAAAACGCAGTGCTTAAAGAACCCAGCATGACTATTCTTCAAATGCCCCAAATGCATCTGTAGTTTCTTTTAATAGGTCGATCAGTCACCTAGCAATAAGGTCAGAACCTGGCTTTTGGAGAGAACCCCCATCAACCATTATGGTTACTCGCACCACCAAGAATTATTAGAATCATTGAAGCCTAACCAATTCCCCAATGACCAGACAGCGAGAGATGTGATCACTGAACCTCCCACTCTCACCAAACAAGCTGGGAGGGCTAAAAATAATGTCATCCCCTTTGACCAAGCCTTATGGAAATGCCAAAAGCAGGAATTCCTCATGACAAAAAGCTTAACCATCATTGCAGTCCCACTTGAACTACCAGCGAAACAATCTCTAAAGAGCAATGGGAAAGAATTAATGAAAGAATCGTACTTATTACTTGGATTCGCACTAGAGTTTGTAAGTATAATCTATGTGCACTTGGAACCTACTTTGAGTGTGAAGGGGCAAAATGTACTTACTTCAACTTTACTTAGTGACCATGGAAATGTTTGTAGATCAACAGGGGTGGGGCAGAAGACTCCTGAAATTTTCGTATAGGCATCATCCAACAAAAAATGACGTCACATCC